AACTGGCGACAGGCGCCCACACAGTACTCAAAGATATCGTAACCGGATAAGAGTTCTCTTCAACTGGCTATGGCGGCTCTGCGCCCACATAACTCAATGTTCGCACTCTGGATCACCCTGGATGTCCCACACGCAACACTCAGTGTTCATACGCAACACACACACACACTGTACTACAGCTAGGGCAGCGCTAGCTGCCACTACCCTATCGCTATACTACACTTCACTGCCCACTTCGACTTCGGGCGCACTGCAGACCTCCTCGCACAAGCTGCTGAGGCAGCGCTTCCGCATGGCATCCGCAGGGATGAATGAATGGCTGGAYGCAGCCTCTTGATTTATACTTCTGTGCGGCGTTGGTCTGCCCTGTATCCCTTGGCCCACGATGTGCACAGTCCCAGACGGTACTTGCTTGACTGGACCGGACTGGGCTACCTGGGACTGCTGACTCTGCGTAGTGGACCTATACCACTTGCCCACTTGCCTCGGCCTAAACAGGGGCTGACTCCTAAAGGCCAGTTCTAGAAACCTCTACTTGGCCTTTCGGTACTGTCGCAGCTACGACTTTGCCCTTTCAGGTAAGTAGCAGGTACGACCTTGACCCTTCAGACATCCTACAGCTACGACTTCGGAACTGTCTAGACTCCTACCCTACAAGTCTACTGTTCGATTCCCTTCTAAGCTGTGACCTACGAAAACCTGCCTACCACTGGCGGTCCTACAGGTCGCAGGTTCAAGTCTACGGGTTGACACTGATACTATACACAGGTAAGACGGGGAACTAGGGATCGAGCCCTGGGATCTGCATTCGCTACTGCGAACTGGTGCATACCGTTTCACTCCCGCCGGCCCAAATTCGAGGTCCTCCGAGAAAATTTCAGTCCAAGGCAGGACCTTTACCCCTCTGCTGTCTCTCGTAGGCTCGGACTATATCGGGAGCTGTTTCTAGAAGTTCAGATCTTGTAAACCAGCGGTCGTCTTCCGGTTCTTGATAGCTAAAATGAACCTTATACTGTTTCTGTGGACGACCCCTACCTCCAGTTCTGAATACGTCTTCAGCCACTATGCCATCGATGTCATACTTTCCATCCATATCGGGTGGAATCATAGATCTACGGGATGGAACTGATCACTTGTCTGACAAGGTAGTAACTTCGATGCGTGGAAAACTGGGTAAGTGTGGAGGTGTGCTGGTAACTCTATGGTGTAGGACGGTCCATCTTCGCCGCCCTTGATTTCCAGAACAGGCCACGGCCCTCTATATGTGGGCAGTAACTTCTGCGAGATGTTCTCCTCAGGTGCAAATTCTCTAGAATTAAGCCAGACTAAGTCGCCTACCTGAAACTGTGAAGGGCGACGGTGTTTGTTCGGTTGCTCTATCATCTTATGCTGGGCTTTCCTGAGGTTTTCGACAACAGTAGCTAGTTCTTTCTCGTGCTGTACAGCAAACTCCCTGGTCCCGGGCGGCAATCTATGAATCTGATCCCGGTTGAGCCCCTCAAACGGTCTGCGTGGTCGAAAGGACTTGTGCAGTTCGTTGGGAGTGCGGCATGTGGACAAATGCACACTGTTATTGTACGCACTAGCTACTTTGGGCAACATCTCATCCCAATTAATCTGATCCGGCCTAATATACATGCGCAGAGCTTGCTGTAGGATCTTGTTCATTTGCTCTGTCTTACCCATTAGTCTCTGGATGACGGCCGGACGACATCAATAACTTAGACCCATATACTCCCATGAGTTCTTGCCAGTTCTGGCTGGTGAAGCGACTATCTCTATCGCTAACTATTGACAGCGGGATTCCATTCTCACTAACCCAACAGTCAAAGAATCTCTGTATGACTAAATCAGTACGTGCCTCTGAAGGCAAAGGAACAAAAACTGCGTATTTACTAAATCGGTCAACTATGACCATGACTTGGCTCTTGCCATGCCTGCTCTTGACTTGAGTGTCCATGAAGTCGATGGACACTGAGTCCCCCGGCTGGTCCGGAATGGGCAAGGGTCTGAGAAGACCTAGCGGGGCGCGCGTAGAACTCTTGTTACGCTGGCAAACCTTACAACTGCGAACATACTCTACGCAGTCATTCTTCATCCCTGGCCAGGTATATGCGCGCATTAGGTTGGCTAAAGTCTTCTGCCAACCAAAATGACCCTCTGTGTCATGGCATTCTCCCAAGATCGGACTACGGATCTTTTCGCTATTGGGGATGCACAACCGGTCAAAGACATTAGTCTTCTCAAATAGTAACCCTTCAGTAGTGCGGTAGTTCGGCTCAGTCTCTGGGGCCTCTTTGACTTTCTTAAGGAGGTTACTATAGATAGGATCCTGCGCGTACACTTCTTTAACCCTCTGCTGCAGGTCCTTCCCTATATCAAGATAATGCACTATCGCCCCAAAGTAATCAGCCCTTCTACTCAGAGCATCCGCGACTACGTTGTACTTCCCTTTGACAGGCTTGAGCTCGAAGTCGTACTGATCTATCTCTGCGGCCCACCTAGTAAGCTTAGATGTCGTCTTGTTCTGGTCTTTAACCATCGTAACGTTTCATGGTCATAATAGACTTTGAAGTGCCTCCCAAGCAAGTAGTGCTTCCAGTGGTCTAAGGCTTGCCTGAGAGCGTAGAGTTCCCTCTCATAGGTCGATGTCGCGACCTTCTCTGAAGGCATTCTGGCGGACATGAACTCTACGGGTCTATATACCCATCGCCATCGTCTTGCTGTAACACTGCACCTATGCCGTATTGACTCGCATCGGTCGTGACGACAAAGAGCAAGGACGGGTCAGCGACCTTAAGGACTGGATACTCTATCAACGCCTGCTTTAACTTCTTCATGGCAGACGTGCAGCCCTTATCCCGCTTCCAGATGGTCTCTTTTCTCAACAATCTGCGAAGGGGCGCAGCGATGGTGGAGAAGTTCCTCACGAACTTCCTATAGTAATTCGCCAAGCCCAGGAACGAGCGCAACTCTGTTAGCGTACGTGGCGTGGGCCAATCTCTAACCGCTGCGATCTTGCTATCCTCTGGCTTAACGCCGTCTCCGTCTAAGACGTGGCCTAAATACAAAACTTGTGTCTTCGCCCAATCGCACTTCTTTGCATTGATCTTGAAGTTAGCTTCCCTCAGCTTCTCCAAGACCTGCCTGAGATGACCCTGATGCTCTTCGAGGGTCCGGCTAAACACTAAGATGTCATCTAAGTAAACTACAACAAATCTGTCTAACCACGGCCTAAACAAATCGTTCATGCAGCGCTGGAACATAGCTGGCGCATTGGTTAGTCCAAAGGGCATCACTATGAACTCGTAGTGCCCATATCTAGTCCGGAAGGCTGTCTTGTACTGATCATCAGGATGCACCTCTGTCTGATGATATCCGGACTTCAAATCTATCTTGGAGAAATACTTCGCCCCCTGCACTCGATCTAAGAGATCGTCTATCCTAGGCAGTGGCTCAACATTCTTCACTGTAATGGCATTCAGATCCCTGTAGTCTATACACATCCTCAACTCTCCCTCTTTCTTAGGGACAAAGAGAACAGGGGCTCCGAAAGGAGACGAACTGGGCCTAATCCAACCCTTTTCGAGGAGCTCGTCCAACTGCTTCCGCAACTCCTCTAACTCTCGCGGGGACATCCTGTACACAACACCCTTAGGAGTTCTATTGCCAGGCTCTATCTCAATATGGTGCTGGATGGGCCGCAGCACCGTGCCTGTCGGCAGGTCAGTCAAATCCGTAAACTCTTCCAGCAATTTGGCAATAGCAGGGTCTACTGGCTTCTCTTCCTTAGGCTCAGTGACTGGCCTAACATAGGCAACAAGGACCTGTTCCTCTAGGTGCTCCTTCTTCACTAATCTAGCGAACGCAGGAGCACTGAGGCAGGAATGTGCCAATGAATTCTCTACTCCTGACACATGGAACAGGCGGGCAGTCTTAGCCTTGCCTGCAGCACTAGGGAGCCTACACTCGTGCTCCTTCAAATGGAGCGTGGCCCCAACTGCCTCTCCCCAATCCATTCCTAACACAATATCAAATGGGAGTCTATCCTCTACGAGGAGAGTCAGGGAGTGGAGGACCTTCTCCACCTTCCCATCTTTCTCTAGGCGGAAATACGCCTGGACTCCCTCTACGTAATCCTCTACAACCATGGTACGATTGTCCGCGAGAATACTAACTATGGGGTCTGTCAGTTTCTGGACTTAAAGTCCCAGCCTCAACTTCTGCAGCGCTTTCTTACTAATATAGCTGCGGGTGGCCCCTGAGTCTACTAGGGCCCCTACTCTACTTCTAAAAATCTCGGCATCTAATAAAATCAGCTGCCCTTTATTCTCCTTCTTCATCTTGGCCCAGGCGGGCCTCCTATCCTTCAACTCTTCGGCCACGCCTGTGAGGGAGGTGTCTAGAGAGACTCTAACACAAGCAGTCTCTGGGCAGCTATCTAGACACCCGCCTACAACCTCTGCCATAGGCACATGTGGTGTGGGAGACTCCTGCCGGCTAGCGCTATATTCCCCACATGGCCTAGTGGTAGGGGCAGTTGCTACCCCTACCGGCGGCTGCCTTTTGGCCTTTGGGCAGCCGTTCGGGTCTCGCGATACTTAGGACAGTATTTGATGATATGGCCCGAGTCACTGCAAAAAATGCACTGGCCCCGGTCCAATCGTTGTTGCTATAAAGTCTGGTCCAGACCCAAAGATTCCCAAGGCCTACCCTGCGGTAGCCCTGGGTGCCATCCTCCTACCCTATAGGGAGACCTATTCCTAGGACGGTTTTGCGGGGGACCTTGACCCCTGCCTCCCGCTTGGCGGTTTCCTCCTCTACCGCCAACCCCCTGATCGCCCTGGAACCGGTTCCCTGAGGCCCGGCCCCCTTGGCCCTGGCCTCGTCCTCCTTGCGGCCTCCCTCCAGCCGCGACAGCAGCGTAAGTCCTCCCCTGACCCACACCGCTGTCATCCTCCTCTAACCCCCACTCGATCTGATCGTAGGGGATCTCATCCACACTACCCTCGTTTAGAGTTAGGACAAGGCTATCCTTAGTCTTCACTTGCCCAGAGATAGTGCGGCCCTTCCATTGCTTTCCCTTATCCAAGTCTTTGTGCCAGAAGGTTGACACAGACGCAGACTTGGCTTCAAAAGCCACCTTTTCGCGACTAAGAGAATTGTACGTAGTGGCAGGGTCTTCGCTCTTTGCGAAGAATGCCCTCGAAGGGCTTCGGGTATGGCCCGGTAGAAGAGGCCGACCAACTGGGTGTCCGTAACCCCATGGTCAGGGACAGCCACTAACTCATCCATTGTACTCTTGAGTGCCCTGGCACTCTTCCACTTGCGGGCGTGGATCGTCTGCAGCCTATCTGACGCTTTAACACTACGAGCGACATCAGCAAATCGCTCGCGTAGCAATTTCAGGAACTCAACGAGAGGGGTGAATGTGGAGTATGCTACCGGATCGTCACTGCAGTTGGCARCACGAACAAGGGACCTTGCAAAACTMGCGGCCTYATCYYTMAGCGCGTGGATCGCAATTAGGACCTGCTGATCCGGGGAGACCTGTTGCAGATGCACATAGGTCCTGACATTGGCCTYCCAATTGTCAAAGTTCTCTTCCCTTTTTCCACTGTAGGAATCAGGGAATTTGACTTTGACTGGCTCCCTGCGAGGACGAGTTTCCTCCTCTTTGGGAGCTGCCACCTTGACGCCCACAATGGCGCCGACACAAAAACGCTCAGTCTTCTCGAGGCGATGACTCAACTCGGACCCTACAGCGTCTACTAACTCGCGAGCAAAGTCCCGTAATCCCGTTCGCATCGAACGCACCGATATTTCCTGGCTGCGACTAAACTCATAGTGCTTTTCTTGCACTTTGGCTAAACGCTCGACGCTCTGGGCAATGATCTCCACCTTCCGCTCGAGATCTACCTGGGGTGTCAATTGTAACCTTAATTTCTGCACCTCCTCCAATTCCTGTATTGCTGCATTCGCCGCCTCCACTCTTCTCTTCTTCTCCCTCATCGTTGCGAGTTTCCACGCCATCCTCTGTTCATCTTCCATCGCCCGCCGCGTCAAAACATCTTCCTCTGCTTCCCATTTTTTCATGGCGGCTTCCTGCTCATCCTTGGGGATGTACATAGCAACCTCTTCCTCTTCACCCAGGGACAAGTTGGCGACCCACTCTGAAATCCGCTTCTCCATTTCTTCATCCTTGCTGCCACTGTTCTGCCCACTCTTCCTTTGCAGTGGCGACCCTTCTTCTTCTTCCTCGTCCACCTCTTTCAACTTCGCCTCCTCTTCCTTCTTTATCCTCTCCTTCTCTCTGGCCATCTCTTCTTCTATCTTCTTCAATTTGGCCGCCTGCTCCTCCTTCAAGGCCTTCTTCTTTGGCCTCCTTCTCCTTCCTCTCCTGCAAAATGGCGGCCATCTTCTCCTCCTCCTCCTTCGTGTAGGGGCTGGTGGAAGTACCACCACGAGTGGGCCCTACTCTAGACGTGAAAGTGGGCCAGAAACCCAGAGGAAAGAGGAGACGCCAGAGGGTCCCCCAGAGAGAGAACCCAACCAGCAACCCATACATCGGATAGTCGTCCATTGTGGCGTCAGGTGCACGACAGTGTCCCACTCCTCACCACTTAGACCTACCTGGACACACTGACCTACTGACTAACTCTCTAAGACCCACTACTCACAACCAAGGCTGTCACTACTGAACCCAAAGCTGATCAGGAGGCATTTAAGGAGATCCCCCAAACTCCGCAAGAATTCTTTAACGTCGCAGACAGGACGACGTGATCAGCTTGGTTCCTCTGGCGATTTCAGCCCACAACTCAGCTGTTCCAGCCTACTGTGCCACACCGAGCAGCCCACCGGTCTGTACCGGTCCTTGGAGGGGTTCGTATCCCTCGGGACAGTCGAGTCGTCAGACACAGATCATCAGCTGTAGTAGGTCCGGTAGGAGAGTGGGTCAACCAGGCCTCAACACTTAAAGATGGCCCTCGTTTCAGCCTACAGCTCGGAGTTCGGACCCTCCACACTGAACTCAGTAGACCTGCCGGACAGTACCGGTCATTGGGCTAGACGAGTTGCTTAACGAGCGCTCGCCGCTCATGCCCAGGTCTCCAGATGCCAGAGTAGAGCTTTGGTCCTACTAAGCCCGTGCAGGTTTGGCAGCAAGGCCCTATCCTTCATCCACAGAGTCCTAACACCTAGGACAGAAGAGACTCAATGAAGAAAGAGAGACAGACAGACTCAGCAAGTACCGTGGGGTAAGTGCACATCCACAGGGTAAGGGGATAGGCTGTAAGGTCAACGAGATATCACCAACTCCAGCTTGGTCAAAATCTTGGTCGGCAGCTCCGGTCAACGGCTTGGTCAACGCTTGGTCAATCACCCTGGTCACCACCTGGTAAACCCTCTGGTCAACCCTCTGGTCAACGCCCTGGTCAACCCTTCACCTCGGCTATGGCTGCCGGCACCTTCACCTTTGTCACCCTCGCCGTCTACTTCCCCGTCCTTCACTTTCTTTCTCTTCACTTTCACTGTATTTTTTTTTATTTTTTTTTGTGCTCGCCCCTGGCTATGTCTGTCTTCTTCTTCAATCTCCTCCTCCCACACTTCTTCTTCTCTCTCCTTAGTCCCTCCTTCTCTGTTCCCCCTTTCCTCAGGTACTCCGTGTCAATACTCCGCGTCTATGGCCGCCGTCTTCCTTCTCCACCGGACTCCACAGCTCGCCTCACAGGTAAGTGACAACCAATCTTGGACCACTCATCTCTCTCTCTCTCTCTCTCTCTCTCTCTCTCTCTCTCTCTCTCTCTCTCTCTCTCTCTCTCTC